CCTGCAAGGATGCTGAATCTGTGTATTTTGTGGTCACAAATACAACCCATCTCTCAGTAGCATTTTGAACCGGGTTCCTCCATACCATTCAGGACTTAGTAAAGAATTACAAGTTTCCCAACAAATTTCTCTGCAGTCATTAGGTGTCTCTAAATTCTGAATTCTGCATCATACTGTATGTGACATATTCTGTTAAAGCAAGGGTTATTTTTTTTGCCCGACTATTTTATTTTCTTTACTCATACCTATTCTTAAGTTTATCCCTGCTATTGTCACTACCCCAATGGCTGATCACTAATATGGGTCTATTTATTGTTTGAGCACGGGGTTCATCCACACAGATTCTGTGGTGTTTCGGCACATAACATCTACTTTGTCTCTCAGTGTAACCAGTACCATGATATTGTCCTGCTAGTTATCTTTCTACCATCTAATTTCTGATACACCTATGACATTAGCAGCTATCAAAGCCACTCATCTAGTTTTTCCTCTTATTAACTGCTGTTCTTAGAAGCACATATGGGTTTAGCTCAGTTTTCTCTTTCTCTACGCTCTGTTTAGATGTTACCCTAGTTCTGCCAGCTCCTTTTTAGACAATACAGTATTTTTATTGCTGCATCTCTGCAGGATGCATCATTTTGAACTGTGCAGAGGACCTGCAGAAAACATCTCCTACCTCTGCCCCTACGATCCGCAATTTTAAAAGTCCCTTGCCACATTTTTGAGTGTTAAATGCTCACTGGCAATGAACATATTTCTTCTGTAAGATTTTGCCCTGCTTCATCCTACATACCTTCCAGAAAGGCTTGTTTATTTTATGCATGTGAATTTCGCTATAAGAAAAGAAAACTCACTGCAATATGCTGAATTAAAAAGTGTGCCAGGTAGCTAAGAGCAGGTCCTTTGCCTGATGAGAGGGGAAAGGAAATAGGAAAAAGGTCCAATGGAAAGATAAGGAGTTTTGGAAAGAAAAGGATTTAGTGCACAACCTCACTGTGCAGCCTTAGAAGACTTAGAAACCTCAGATAAAGGGAAATCTGTCAGGAGATGGGCTGCTTTATAAGGTGTCAGCAAGAAAGAAAAATAAATTTCTTCACATATGTAAAAAAAAATTAAAGTGAACAGAAGTCCGGTAAGGAAGAAACCAAAGAGCCACAACTAAGTTCACTGTTCTGTGAATGCCACAAATATCCCTCAGTGAACATACTGCTCTTTTATTCTTTTGACAACAAAATGCTCAGCTGGAACACAGCTTTGATTAGTGGAAAATTACATGAGCAACTGAGAACTTGAAAATCAGCTACAGTCTGCAGGGATAGTTTCCTTCCAACTCTTTTTGGAAATATTTGTTACCTTACTATTCACATCTGTAATGAAATTTAGAAAATAGCACACTGCCTGTAGCCCGAAAACACCTGTTCTGTGACAGCCCATTAAGGGTCCTGGCCAGAATAACCAACTCTTGCCCTATCATTCTTGATCAATAGCAAATGGAAGCTGTCATCAAAAATATTTGTGGACACAGAAGATTTTTTTTTTCTAGTTATTATCTACCATCACCAAGCTGATTTTGTTAAGCAAATTTGGCAGTAACAGCCAGCAATAGCTAATAAATTCAATGCTAGGCTTACAAGGTTCTGACAAAATGTTGGCAGCTGCCTCCTTAAATGCAGGGAAGGGCTCTCTTAGTGTGGGTTGGAAGTGTTTATTTATACCATGCTGTGGGGCTGTTTGCCCCAAATTTGGCTGCCCAGATTTGCCTTCTTTTAGTAGGTGTTGTTGGTGCGATATATGCGAAGGGTATAATAGCTGATCAAAGGACTTGGTATCCAGCTACACAAGTGATCAGCACAAAGGGATTGAAGTTAGAGAATTCAAGTATAAGTTATTGCATTTTTACGGTAATAATAAGAAGAATGATCTCGTTTATTAATGCAGCATTTGTGGAAAAGGTGTAGTTAGCCCTTGCCATGGATTTCTTCGTATTTTATCATGAATGATTTAGGGATTAGCTTTTCTACACTAAGAAGCTTTTAATTAATATTAAAAGGGCTTATACTGACTTGCTGTTACGTGGTGATAGACTTGAGAAGAGATTGCTTCCATAACAAACTAAGATTCTTCTTAGGATTTCTTTTAGCCTGACTTAAATGTGGAAGATGATGTGCTCAGGGATATTTGAGTGGGCTTTTTGATCTACGCAGGGCTAAAAGTCAGTTACATAGAGGTTTTCTTTGGATCCAGGAAACCAACTGAAAGAAATCATGGAAAGCTGAGTGCCTAGGTGCAGCAGATGCACCTGCAGCAGATGGACCAGACATCTACACATGGAGATATTTAGAAAATCACATCCAGGAACTTTTTAGTGGTAAGTGATGCTAAGGAGGTATTCAGAAACTGAACGAGCTGAAATCTCATTGTGGAGATAAGTTTAATTTTAAATCCCCAATGGACGTGAAAACCAAAATACATTAATATAACTGATCTTAAGAACGATACTCAATTTTTGATATTCATTGCACTTTATCAGATCTCATTTCTTTAGAAGAGGAATCAAGAACCTGCCCCAGCGCTGGGTGTCACCGAGCAGCCGGCAAGCCTCTGTGTGCCAGCCCAGTCAACGCAGCAAGCATCTGGAGGTAAGAACTGGTATGTCCATGCCCCAAAAGGAGGGTGGAAATCGGCCTTCTGTGCCATACCAGCATGGCTAGCCAGGTGCCCTGTGTTACTGCCGTTATCAAATAGGATGTCACCTTGGGGTGAATATAGATCAGCTCTCAGGAATCTTCTCCTTTCATTACATTCATTGCTTCTTTTGAGAAATAGTTTTCAAATACTGATTTCTCAAAATGCCCTATCCAGCGTGGGGCATACTTAGTAAAGTCAATGACAAGTGAAGGAAGATGATGAAATTAAATGAGTATGAGATCCTTTTTAACTGGAAAAGAACAACAGAATAAGTCAGAAGGTTTAAGAATTCTGCAGTGAAAATAAGCTGGCATTAAAATGCACAGTTTTCTCTTTGAATACAAGACAGATTGAGAAGAATTTGGATTGACTATGTTTCAGTGTCCAACTTGATGTACAATTGCAGTTTATTCTGGTTTTGTTGAGTCTGGTTGTCAGCAATTTCTATCTCCAAGCAAGTGTTCCCCTCTCCTGTGTGCAAGCTATACAACTGAACAGAAAGACATAAGAAATATAAAGAAATAATTTTCTTCACTAAGCCTATAGCAGATGTACTCACTAGAAAAAGTAGAATAGTCTAGAAACATATTCTCATACCAAGCAGTTACTCTAAAACTTCTACAGAAAAAAAATCTATTGCTGACAGCTTTTAGCATGACCAACAGAAATATTTAATGTAAATGACTAAATGCTGGAAAGTGTGTGGGTGAAGCAACAAAACATTATGCACCAGAATGAACTTGCTCAGAAAAATAATGCACGGAAAGATCCCCTTGCCTTTTGAACACACTCATCCTGTGCAAGGGAGCTCCAAACCTCAACATACTATGGAACAAGCATCCCGTTTGGCTTGTTTTGGATGTGCCTCCTGGTATTATCGTGTAATGTGCACTCGTCCTTTTATTGGGAGAAATAGCCAACAACCATCCCTCAGATTGCCTTTTTAATTCCTCTCTCAGATTTATAGATGACTATCATTTTTCCTTTCAGGCATCTCTCTTTTAAGCCTTACTCTTACCCTTGTGTGGAAGCTTACAGAGATCAGGTAATTCTTGCTGCGATTCTGCAAATTGTACTGAAAAGGACAAAATCACACGCCGTAGTTAATATATGGGAGAAGCTCTTGGATAGATAAATTCATCAAACATCAGGATGTTGTTTGCCCTGTCCTTTCCTCTCAAGTCTTTTCCCAGTGCTTTCTAACATCCAGTCCCTTGGACTGAGCTAGAGGTTTTGTAAGAATTGCTGTACCCCAAAGTCCCATTTCTGTGTGTAAGACTTAGCTCAGAGCCCATTAGTGGTAGTACCTCAGAATTGTTTTTACTTCAATTTATTCCACAATTTATTTTAAGTTTACTAACATTAAATTTCACAGAGGCTTGTCTGTTACCTCTTTTCCAACCAAAATACTCCTCTACTTCATCAGTGGTAATTACCCTTCTTTTTTAAATTGTCCAGCTGATCAACAATAAAGATAAATTAAGAACAGTTGTTCCTAACAGCATTTATTGCCTCCCTGCCAAACCTGATGAAGGTACCATATACCCAAAAGGTTTTCTAATTCTGTCAGGTGTTCTAACAATATATATCCATTCTTCTCTCAAATATTTCTTTTCCTCTGTCCTTTGGCTTTTCCAAAAGCCCATGACTGGCATGAAGGACACTGCAAAGCTCATGTGCCCATTCAGCTGTGGGCACAGTGCTCAGTCTTGAGCAGAAAGCAGATTGGGCTGAGCTGCCCGGGTTGTCAGTTAATTGAATTCCACCCTTTTTTTTTTTCCCCATGACAAATACCATTTTTGAAATATGGATTAATTTAGTACCAGTCTCCAGCTCTAATATTGGAGTAAAGAAAAGCTTTGCATCCTGCCCTTTCTGTGCACTTGATTTTTTTGAGGGTAGCTCAGACAGACAAGCAGCTACATGATCCCCTCTCACAGACACACAGCTGGTGCCTGATAAATGAACGTGACTTCAGTTTTCTGTCTATTAATGCCTTTTGTCTCTGAACCTGCGTATCATGCTCTTCCTCAGTAGGAAGTTGGGAAATGTCCATATTGTGATATTTACCTTCTTGAAAAAATATGGCCAAGCAAAGACAAAAACGCATCAGAGGAAGGACAGATTTGAATAAACCCCTGAAGAAAGATCTCTTTTAAACTCTTGGCACTAGCTTCAGCTGGCAGTATGTAATCTGGATGACATGCAGGTTCTGTGCGCTTGAAGGTGTTTCCCCTGGCACTGCAGTATGACAAGGACAATACAGATGAGAGCAGCAAAAAGGGAAGAAGCCTTGACTGTGTTTGTCTTACCTTTTTCAGAAGCTGGGGCAAGGTCAATAAAGCTTCGACATTTTTCACCTTTAAAAGAAAAAGAGTATTTTAGGAGACAAAAATTGATTCATTTTGCTCTGTCTTCCCTTTCTGGCTGGTGTTTCTGCCACCTCTGTCACCAGAGATGCTATGGGGCTGCTGAGTTCTCAGTAGCCCTTTCTGCTAATGTTCTGATTTCTAATTCTGCTCTTTTACACAGAAGGCAGACATTGACTGGGATTCCACTGGACAACACACACATCATCCTTCCGTGGTTGGACTCTCCCCTAAGACTTAAAGACACTTGGCCAGAAGTGAGAAATACGGTTAACAAAGAGAAATTTTCTCTCTGCTTGTCGGGGCCCTGTCGACTGAGTGCTGCTCTTTTTCCAAGGGTTGGGAAGGTGCTGCACTCTGGTTGGAGTGGCACAGTGCAAAGAGCTGTAGAGGGATGACAGTGGGAAAATACAGGCCTCTTGTCACCAGTGCTCATAATGCATTTCCCATCTTGAGGATGCCCTCTGTGCCCCATCAGGATTGGACTGAACCTCCCGTGCCAGGAGGCATTCCCAGGGATACAGATGTGTCTCAGAGCTGATCAGACAGTTTTTCTCGTGGCATGTTCATGGACCAGTGTAGTGGCTGCAGAAACCTGTTCAGTGCTGTGGAGCTGCCATTGGTAACCTCCCCAACCCCCCCAAAACAATACTGACATTAATAGCAGATATTTTCAGAGAAAAAAAAAAAGTACAGAAATGATAAAGAGGGAAAAAAAAATCTTCTCACCATTACCCAAAAGAACTACTGTGTACAAGGGAGCCAGGTTCACCCCAGAATATTGGCTGCTCTACAGTAACGTCCTGCCAGAGTGCCCGAGGAGATGGATGTGTGCAATAGCAGCAGCGAGCTCTCCTGCCACCCTTGAATGAGGCCCTTCCTGCTGGGAAGCCCTGGTGAGTGTCCGGCAGACAGGAATCTGCCATCAACAGCCCTCAGACAGGGGCTGCCCATCCTGTTCTGGAGCTCTCTGATCAAGTTCAGAGATCCCATGAAAGCTCGCTTAGCAACACACTGGTGCAGCTGGTCATGCAGCGTGTTCAGTAATTAAAGAAACATGAGCAAAGAGCTTGGGATTTGTTTAAATTGTGGGAAAAAGCAGCTGCAGGAGCTGACAATTGGAGAGAGAACTACTAGTTACCCTAAGCTATATCTTTAGCTTGTCAGAGCTAGATGCAGACATGCACTGCCTGTGCCACAGAGATCAGGGCCTCCGTGTTGTTCCAAAGGGGCTGTAATAATGTGAATAGGATGTTCTAGAGTGCAGCCACCTTGTCAGTCTTGCAGTGTGTGAGTAAGAAAAGGCATGAAATGAGGCAAGAGGGGAGAGAATAAGGTCAGAGAAGGTGACTTGGAGCACCAGGGTGTAGCAGCTATTGGAGCAGTCCACGTAGGATACTGTTGCTTAGATCTTTGTAGACACTTTAGCAGAGAGCGATGAGGAAAGAATAAGAAAAGGTTGAAGAATGATGAGTAGTAGTAGAGATGTTTGAAGTGGCAAAACCAGAAAATGACCTTCCATCTTTCCCATTGTTATTCTGAAGGCTACAGAAGCAGGGAGGATTGCACTAAGGAAGGCCAGAAAAAAGTGATTTGCTAGATATGCAGGAATTAAGTTCCCATTGTATAATGGAAATAGCCAAGAATCACCTGCCTGCCTAGACTTTGGTGATGGGGGAAACTAAAAAAGGTAAGTTGTCCTCAATGACTAGAAAAGGAGAAAGCTCTGAAATGTCACTGGGTTTATGTCCCATCTGCTGCATAGCCACAAAGAGAGGTCAGAGACCTTCAGGGGTTGGATGTGAGGAGAAGAATTCAGAGTAAGGACAGGTCTCTGAATCATGATGCCAAGTTTGGAGAGGTAAGCAGAAGCTTTAAGGCAGACTGAGGATAAGTTTGGTCCTGCAGAGAAAGAGTTCAAAGAGCAGGAGGAGAAGTGGGAGGTGAGACAGGGTAGAACAAAAAGAAATAGATAGGGAAATAGAAAATAGATAGGCCTCCTAGGAAAACAAAATCAGAATGTAAAATGATGAAGAGCTAGTAGAGTGCTGTTGGGAGGATGAGATTATTAAAGATTTCAGTAGAGTTATTCCAAACAGAGATGAGCTTTTCTCATTTTGTTCCTTCAAAAGGTCTGAAAAACTTTATCTGAGAAAAGAAAACATGATGAAAACACATCCCTTGCCATCTTCCACGTCTTCCCTGTACATCCGTATGAAATTGAACACACAAATGGAGGATCATCTCTTTTTTTTTCTCTGTAACAGTGACATTCAGTGGGATTACAGCGCAATAGCCGAAGCAAATCTAGTGCAACTGAAGACCTCATACAAGATTTCTACTGTACTAATACTACTTCTGGATGCTGCGAAGTAGCTGGCAGATAATAAGTACAGCAGGATCTGACTACATAAGTTAAAGTGGAAAAAATGCATTAATAGGTATAAATGCCAGATTGCAAAGTATTCATAATACTGTAAGGCCACATTTTCTTTGTTCACAGCTTTTACTATTCCAATCTGAATTTTCTGCTTCTGTTGAAAATTCCCAAGCCATAAGGAAAAAAGCTTAGAAAGAGTAGACATAAAAAGTTCAACTGTTGAGTAATAGTTATAAAAGAACAACTTCTATCTCACCAGCCATTAGATAACAACTCTGCTTCAGAGGAACCACATCACCTACAGCGCACAAGCACTGGATTGCCATTTATGAGCAGGATTGACCAGGACTTCACAGAGTTTTGTTATGACAGGTATCTACCACTGTCTAAAAAATATCAGTTTTGTAGTGCTTGTCTGAAACTGTGTATCAAAAAGCAATGTCAACAGCAGAATTTGTCCTAATAATAGTATTTATACTGAATTTCTGCTAAAAGAAGAAAAATCACAGGTAGTGTCTGAAGATAAAGGCCTTCAAAACTTGAATGCACTTGAACAAATTTTCTGTGCTTCACTTCAGAGGTTTTTAATAGCTTTGGCTCAAACAAACCTGAGGGTCACTTGAGTCACTTGTATAAAGCCTAGCATTCAAATTATGACTGCCCAAACACTGTGCTTTTCACTCAGGGAGGATGTGAGTGAGGGGAGAAAGTCTGGGTTTTATTATTTTAGAACTAGTTTATAAATCCAAGCTATAAAGACTTGCTTATTTTCTCATGGAACAAAGTAAGCAGAAGAACAAAAATCATACTGATCCTACCTGCAGATACTACTGGATTCACACTGTCAACCAATTATTTTGGAAAGGTTTTTATTAAATGCTTCGAGAATTGGCCTGAGGTCCCAGCTGGGCACTTGATCAAACGGCACAAAACGAAGAGGCAAGTGCTTTCCACACGAACTTGGTATTTAAAAGGTACTGGCTCACTGGGAAGATGGACGGCTTCATCCTTGTGGGAGGGTTGAGCAGAGCAACTTGTCTTACTCTGGTTTTCTTTGATGCAGAAGTCTAAACTTCACACATCCCCTTCTCCAAATGTCAAGAATCAGGCCCTGGTTTAGATGAAACTTATGACTATAACAAAAACTTGCAGAAAGCATGCTAAGCAATACATAACATTTTCAGATCTTTTTTAAACCACCGTTTAAAAAAAAAAAGTGGTCCGTGCCATATCTGCCACAGCCCCAGGACACTGGCCCAGATACTCTCTCTGCCTTGTGGCTGTTGCATCCTTTTGTCACTGTATATTGAATTCCCTGTGTTTAGGACTCCACCTCTGCTTTCTCAGGCACTCTGAGAAGCATATTGTTTCTGAGCAGGGAATGTATCTTGAGGATGAATGTTTTGACCTTTCTTTCTACTTCTTCAGGCAACCAGAGAGATTATAAAATAATTCCTTTGCTCAAGTGCATCCATCCACCAAATCTACGTGTTTCTTTCAATATGATATGTCACAAGATGACCAATAGCCCACCTCAAGTAATCAGAGCACTGCATGCCTGCCGGAGGTAATGGAAAGGAATCCATTTTGCCCTTTAAGTCTTTAATTCATGTAAAGACAGCTAAAGGAGGAAGAGATTTTATTTTACTAGTTTTCCTCAATTTTGATTACACAGTCGAAGACTGATTTAGTAAATGTGAGCCATTAAAAAAGGATAAACAGCAACATGCTGTAGAGATGTTGAAGTCAGTGTGTAATTTTTTCTGAATAGTAATTAATTATATATACAAACCACTATAAAGTGTTAATCCCTCTGGTGTATTTGGTGCCAAGATTGAGATGAAAAAAAAAAGTCAAATGATAGCTGTGCTGAAATAACAATATATTATTATAATGCTATTATTACTTTTCAATTTACTCTTTACAGTTTAAAGCCTATACTAAATGTGCTGTGTATATAATCTGTTGTTTATTTGTCTATATGTAAGTTGCTAGAAAATAAAAAGTTCATTTACAGTTGAAATGAACATGTGGAGTCACCCTTGCAGAGAGGGGCATTTACTCCTTGAACCCCAGGGCATTGTCAAGAGGAAAGTCAAGGAAAGGAAGGACCGTATCAAAGCAAAATATCTATTTCCAAAGAGGTAAGGCAGTCTGTACCTAATATTGGTATAAGCAGAAGGCACAGAGGTTTTTCACTTCAGCTATATGTATCTGTGATGTGGGTTTCAAATATGATCTGTTACTTTTATTGGCATTTTATCTTGACCTGACTTCAAGGTGACTGGCTAGCACTGTCTTCGCTCACCTGTGGGTGCAGTGAATCTGAAGTCATTACTGCGGGAAACTTTTAACAAATACCTGACTCTAGCATCTTATCCCACATAGCCAAAGGAGAACAGCATTTTCTATCTCAGAAACTACGTAGCCCATTCAGAGAGCTGCAGCTACACAGTGTCTTTCAGATACATTGCAGAGTATTGAGAAAGCCTTTTTGGTCTGCTTGGGTGCCGAGGGGGCTGAGGCACCACAGTGTCTGACTGCAGGTGCCTCACCTGCAGGACTAATGTAAAGTGTGTGACCAGAAGTTATCCTGAGGAATGTGCATCCT